CTTCTAGCAATTACTAAAACTAATTAACAATTTGGCCATTGGAATAATTACCCCTAGTAAAGCAGAGAGGCACACTCAAGTGTTAGTTCGGTCCTTCTTTTAATTGTGACTGTCTGGACAAGTTAAACCATTTTCTTTTAGTATTTGATCATAAATATACCTTTACCCTCCACCGCAACAATGTAGACTCCGCATTAAACCTGTAAGAAAAGATGCTTTGGCCACTTAGGGGCATTGCAAATAGGCTGTAAACACAACATTGACATCACCTTTTAAGCTGATATTATGAACTTGTTAGTAAACATTTGCCAATTACACATCAAGCAGACAGGGAGCAACGTTAGAATTCATTTACTAGTTGGTTTCTCTACCAGCTCCCGAGGGAAATATCTGGCTAAATATTCAATATGTTCACTAGTGACTAACTTTTTGTTAACTGTTTTTACTCTGCATTGTGTGTGTGTGTGTGTGTGTGTCCAGTGCCTGTCTATATCTCTACAGTCATCTCTCAGCAGGCCTCATTCAAATAGGATGTAATATAATGTAAATAAGCCAGGATGACACTACAGCAGGAGCAGCCAGGGGCAGGAAGCCAAGCCAGGCAGGCACTGATCGGAACGGGAGGCAGGACAATGGAACATAAAGGCCGAAACGCAAAGACAAATCAGGCATGAAAGGGAGGGCCACCACAGCCGAGATTATTTGCGCAGTAATTGGTTGTTTTCGTCTCCATCAAATGGAGACTTTTGATGAATAGATTGGAAATAAAATTGAAATAAAGACACCTCAAAGTTTTTTTTTTTCAAATGCCTTCATTACTTAACCTTGTTTCACAGAGGAGAGGTTGATATAAACATACAGAAGCTGTTTAATTTTCTGACCTGGCACTGCTGGAATGTCCCTTGAAGTTTTTGGGGTGCTTCTTTGCATACAGAAAATATTCACAGAATTTCAGTGAATTTTTTAATGCAACATCGTATGTGTGGTTCGTGCTGTTATTTGACATGTTGTCTGGTGGTTAATGCTTATTTTGATGTAATTACTTCTAAATGCTGGGTGGTAGGGATTTCATTAGTTCCCCTGCCCCTGTCTCACAGCAAACATTTTACCTGGACTCATTAAGCATCAGACATGACACATCAGAGACACTGTTATGCCAGCATTCAGGCTGTTACTATGCCAAGGTCTGCCCTCTCTGAATAACCTGCCAAAGCTGAGAGCTACTTTTCTAAAAATTTCCTCTCCTTTTGGTGGTGCACATTTACTCTTAAAACTGAGTTTTTAGTCCAGGCAAGTATTGTGGGGACAGGATTGTTTGTGCAGGACTGTGCGGTAAGTCAAAGGTTGAAAATGTATTTATCAAGTGCTTGAACTCAAACCTATTAGGAATTTCTTTTGGTTCCCTTCAATAAAGATCTGAAGGTTTGAAATAGACTGAAATCAGTTTTCCTTCTCTGCTCTGCCCAAAGGGAAATTCCACCTTAAAATACATTTCACATGTACTCTTCCAGTGGTCTTGAACCAGCAAGCATAATGAACAGCTGTACGAGTATGCTAAAAATGCACAAATAGCTCTTGGGCTACTCCATTTCTCATGAATTACAAATTTAAGCTCTCATGTTTTATGACCTTGGACATACGATTTTTTAAATAAAATTGCCAGGGTGCACAAATATTTTCTCTTACGTTTTCCAGTCTATGGAAATGCATTGATGTTAGAGTTTATTTGGCTGTGTTGTTCAAAGGCAACTTTGACATGCATTGTTGGAATCACTTATTAACTACATTCGAATACTAGTTTAGTTTAGCTTAAATTTTTAACAGTGATGGGGACCGGCAATAAAAGAATTGAGTGATATAAGAAAAAGCTCAGTGTATGATTGAAGCCCTGCTGCAGGTGTTTTGCCCTTTAAAGGTTGTCCTACAGACTGTGCCCTGATGGAGTCTGAACGTCTCTGAAAATGTCCATGTGTTTCCAAGGTCTAGTCTTGAAAAAGGTCAAATGCAAGTCAAAAAAAGCAAGAAATGATTAAATGACACTTGCCTGTATGCCTACGCACCTCTAACTGTATCACTGCAATATTGCATTCAGACTACATTCAGCCATACGCCAAAGTTTGACACCCAGTGGCTTTAGGCAGTCTGAGTGGTAGTGGATTGGTATAAGGAAGGGAGAGGAATCTTCCTCGTGTTTCATTTCAGGCTCCCAGTGCCCTCTGGCGGCCCTCGGAGCAGGCGATATCCAACCAACTTCTGCTTTCTTCCTCAGCTAGTCTCTCCATTAATAGCTTAGTGCCGCTCCAGCTCCCATTGTTATTCCTGCCTGGCTGCATGCTGCGCAAAGGATGTTGCATGTTTATCAGACCATAAATACTGTGCATCTCTGCTTTGGGAGAATGAACTTTGAAAGAAAGCCTCCACTGAATCCAGATGTCATCCTCTTGTCTTCTATAACTTCATTAATCTTTGTCGAATCCCTTTGACCTTTTCTCTATCATCTCTTTAAAAAGGCTTGATCAGTTAGGCCAATGGAAAAGAGTGGGCCTTCACTTGTCTCATTCTAGGGCCAGAGCATTGCTCAACAGACTGTGCTGATTCTGTTACATCTGAAATGTGAATCTCAGTTGGAGCTGTTGAAAATAACTGAGTGTGTATCAATTTGTCATTTAAACAGCTGGTGCACATAATTCAGCACACAAATCACATGGATCTTTGCGCATCCTGTATTCTGTGACAAGCCTCTTTATGCAGAAACATGCTGACTGATTATGCACATGTCACATGGGCACACGTACATAAACAGTGTGAACTTGTAGAGTCAGCTATGTTTAACACCTCAAAGGATTTGGATAAGTAACTGTCATCGAGACAGCATAATTAGGACACAGTGCCATCTGAATTCAAATGGCCTATTTGCCCTAATGATCTGTCACTTTTCTTGGAAGTCAAACCCATGAGAATAGATACTCTGCACACCAGCATTTTCTTACTGCATGCATTGCACTGCTTGCTGATTTTTTATTTTGCATTAAAATCCACTTTCCTCTTCATAAGTGAAAAGAAACTCAACTGAAGATGGATGAAATACAATGAACGCTTCCTCAGTGAATATTGCATTCTATGCTGCGAACACTAATGGAGTATTTTACCTTTTTCTCCCAGACAGTCTTTTAAGCTACTGTAAGTGGTTGAGCAGGGGGCCAAAGATATTGTTTGCCTCAGTGACTTTAGCGACATGAGAAAGGTTGTTTTTTTCCTGAATAGAACTGATTTAAATGACCAATATATCATCAACTAAAATGAAAACAAATGACAACAATTTTGCTCAATGTGTCCGCTTCATGCTACACACAAAAAGAAAAGAAGGGAAGGGTTGTATTATTTTGTTTTATGTGCAAAATAAAACACTTTATTACTTTTGCAGACAGTAGAAGCTGAGACATGTGATTCTTGCAATGGGTGTCACTGATGTGTTTATATGTGGGCTTTTTATTCAGATTGAGCTCTGTTCTTTAGTGGAATAAAAGCCATATTGTTAACACTATTTCTGAAGCTGTGGCAGCGTTGGTACATAGATAATATGGTGTGGGAGTGTCCCCTACAGGCAGTTTGAGGAATTGCAACAGGAACCCACGTGGTTTTACTACTGAGGGACCACAACCACTTTACTTTCTGGAGGTCACATTTAGGCCTTTTCTTCTGCATGAATGATTCATAACTTCAAATGTAGCCCTTGCCACAGATAAAAAGAGAAGGTGCTTAATCATACTTACTATTCTGAGCTGATGTTCAAATAGTCAGTTAGTGGTGCAACTTTGAAACATATTTTTGTCAGCTGGTGTAAAAATTCTTGCTATTTTTCCTGTGACTGTTGCACCTGTTCTTCAAAAGTTGCTCGGTAACCAAATTTGAAATAAATGGGAAAGGCTGAAGAAAAGGCAGTAAACAAAATTTTTTAAAATCCAAATAGATAATGACCAAACAAAATAACCACTCCTCTCATGTCTTGGACTTCTTGAAAATATACCATATGTGCATATGATTATTTAAAAAAATATGTTATCGTCCCATTCTGTAGGCTTCATTGTCTAGAGGCCATTTAAATACATTTTAGAAAGTAGTAGTTGATTTTTGTTTTGTTTATATTGTTTAATTAAAGGTAAAGAAAATATCAGTATTTTAGGTGTCTATTGGAGTGTGCTGTGTGTTAAAATGTTGAGGAAACTGGCGAAAATCAAAGATTTTATATATTTTTGCTGTATGTTTGTTCATGTATGGATAAAACATGCCACTTCATGTTTTGTCTATTGGTAATTTGAACAAGGTGCAGTATAATACATTTAGTGTCCCATGTGAGTAGGAAACAGTCAGCAAAAACAGCAGATGAATACTTTCTCCGCCTCTCTGTGATCACTTAACCAACAATGGTTTCATATTTTAATGAAACTCATTCTTTATATATCTGCTGGCTGCAGAGCCTTTTACTATCAGCCCCCCTTCCTCTGGAATAACCTCCCTGCTGACATCAGACTTTACCATACATACCACAAAAATAATAAAGAAAGGGTAACTAAAACATCTTTCATTCTTAATGCGTCCAAATGAAAAGGGAAACAGGTCAAATAAACCCACAAATTAAGATTCATTGAAGGTATACATAATTTGAAAGAAATAAACAATAAATAACATCAAACAAAGGACATCAGTTTCCAGCAACTTACTGTGTGGCAGCATGGTCTCTAACAAAGGGATCGCGGTTGTAAACACACAGTGCCCTATAAAATCTCCTCCCCTGTCCTCTGAAAGGGTGAATCTCCACCCACCCGTCTGACATGTCAGCTTGAGATTTTTGAACAATAATAGGGTACAACATAATTTAATAGACTATATATAGTTTTTCGGCCGTAGCAGGGAAAAAGCTGTAAGAAGCCAATGTCCACTACCTCCTCAGCAGCAAACAGAACAGAAAAATTATACTTCATGCACGGATCCACAGGTTAAGTCTTGCTAGATGTTATACGCTCCGGTACAGTAGGTGGCAGTATGGAGCCCAGCTTTATGGAGTGAGGGGCTAATGAAAAAAGGGAGGAAGACTTCACAATAATATTTACATGTACCAACTGTGAGGTAAGTGCATATGTTTTGGTCAGGTTTTAAACACAACATTACAGACTTTCTCCAGATATAATGATGGCGCGGATATGGTACATGAAAATGTTACATGTCGTGCATAAAAGACATTAATGAGTAGACAACATGCTATGTATTGTTAGCTAGCTTGTAGCCTAGCATGTCAAATGACCTATGACGTCGGAGTTTTAAACGCTGCATTTCTGCTTAAATAAAGAAAGGCTGTGGTCAGCTGTTTTAAGAGTATGCGCTTTAGCTATGATAATGGTGTTCATAGGTGTTTACCATTAAACTATGGCATGTTGACAGTCGCCCAGTGAAGCATTTGTGCCTGCCAAATAAATGTGAGTGTACTGGTCATGAAAAGCGGAACTAGACATTTCCCTGCATTTTAAAAAAGCAGGGTAAAGGTGAGCACTGCCAAGGAGTGCCAAGGTGTCCTTTTAATGTCATGTGCTGGAGTCATGATTCAGAGCTATAATACAATACCTAAGACAGGTATTGAGGTTTTTGTGTTTAACTAGTTCAAATACTTGAAGTGAAGTTGTAAAGTTGTCATTAACATCTATTCAGCAGCTTTCTCACTGTTCAAATCTTTTTCTAACCTCTCCTTACTTTCCAGGCATCTTTACCTAATGCTATTGTTGAAGAGCTGAGAGGTGTTTTTCCATCATGGAGGCTGTCGGGGACTTCCTCAATGTATTTCACATTCAGGCCAGTGGATTGTCTATGACGCTCAGCCTCTTCCTCATCTTTCTTGGTCTTCTCTACTGGTGAATAAATATTTTAAATCCCTTTGTGTGTTCATGATGTTGCACCTGCCATAGAAATGAAGTCAGTTATATAATCTGCCAGTAACATAAAGCATGCATTTTTACACACATAAAGAAACTCTAGAACACCACTCTCAGGGCAAAAGCAGGATATTTAGGAAAATGTTGGTCTATATTTGTCACTGTATTTGCTGTTAGTTTTTCATTCATCACTCTTTAACCCAACTTTGTGCTCTTTTTTTCTAGGTATTCAATTTGCCCGTTTTCAGTCCTTTCGCGATGTGGCATCAAACATCCAAAGCCAGTACCTTTCTTTGGCAACATATTCATGTTTCGCCAGGTAATTGCAATTTTCATTAAATTTCAATTTACCCCTGGCTTTCTCACTTTTTACTTTACCTTTAACCTAAAATGTGTGGATTATGAGACATTTTAAGTACTAGATTCTTTCAGGTCTCAGATAAAAAAAAAAATTATCTTTTCATTTGAAGGATTTGGCAAAAGCCCATTTGTCTCACAAGTCAACAACATGTTGAGCCAAAAATATGTTTCCTGTTTTTCCTTTGATACTTCCCACATGTACACACATACAGATAAACAAACCCACACACATTGTTTCACAAATGTGCTTCATCATGAAGGCTTCATGCACATTCTTACGTGAGGGCTTCATATAAGAATGTACACAGTGCGTGTGTACACACAAACATAGGTGCTTCCCTTAATTTGTATCATTCCTCTTTCTGTGGCTTTTAGTTTTGATCAGTGATAACAGGTGAGTTTCAGTGCTGGTCCTTTTGTTAGGTAGTCTGTTCACTGCTATATATGCAGCTTTTACAGAGGCATGTAAAAGAGTTGTGAGCTGCCATACTGTTACCCTTTCTGCAGTTTACATGAAGTTAATATTGTTTTTGTAATGTTCTTTTCAGGGTTTTATGAACCCGCTCGCCGATCTCATAAGGACACATGGCAGAGTTTGTGGGTAAATAAACAGATTTGAATTCTTATACACTGTAAAATGAGGTGGATACTTGCTAGGTAAAAACCTAATGTATATTTGCAGCATTAAGATAATGTGGTTCTAATGAGACTCTACTTGGTATATATTAGGTACTATTTGGGGCGCAGACCGGTGGTGGTGGTAGCGGACCCTGACATACTCAGACAGGTGATGGTCAGAGACTTCAGCAGTTTCCCAAACAGAATGGTGAGGACAGTAACCAAAGTAAAACATGTACATTATGTACTTACTCATGATTCAGCAGTGGACATTTGTGCCTTCATCTTCTGCTTCTCTATACAGACAATTCGCTTTGCCTCCAAGCCCATGACTGACTGTCTGCTCATGTTGAGGAATGAACGCTGGAAGAGAGTGCGGAGCATCCTGACCCCATCCTTCAGTGCTGCCAAGATGAAAGAGGTGACATAAGAATGCTCAGATTAATTGGGTAACCAATAATTGTTACAAAGACTTTTTACTTGTCTTCAAATTTGTCAAGTAGTGAAGCAGATCGTACATGGCTGCATGATACACCTCACTGACAACTAAGGGAAAAAATGTTTGTCTGATAAGTTACTGTTCATCATAGATTGAGGCTAGGAAGTCTATATATAATCTTTTAATTATTGAAGCATTTACTGTATGTGCATTTATTGATATATTCATCTGTTTGGTGTGACTGTGCTTGCTTTGTTTCTTGAACCACATTGACCTTTTCCTCCTTTGTGGTATTCATGGACCGATATTTACCTAAAGCGATATTGACAAGACGGTTTCATTCGTGTCTTTCTATTATCAGACATCATAGCAGTTACGCCAAGTGTCACTGTCTTTTCTATTTTCTCGTAGATGGTTCCACTCATCAACACGGCCACCGGTGCCCTGATGAACAACTTGGATGTGTATGCTGAGTCAGGAGAGGCCTTTGACATCCACAGGTAATCACACACACACTGAACAAAGGCAGTCAGAGTTATAGTGTCTTTTTCTGTCCTGACTCATATTTTTGTTTGCGTGTCTCTTTGGCAGATGTTTTGGCTGCTTCACCATGGATGTTATTGCCAGTGTGGCATTTGGAACTCAGGTGGACTCTCAGAACAACCCAGATGACCCTTTTGTCCGCCACGCCCAGATGTTCTTCTCCTTTTCTTTCTTCAGACCCATCATGCTGTTTTTCAGTGGGTTCAATGTATTTGTATATATATAAACATTTGAATTATTACATTGGACAGTGGAACATTTATGTAGTATATTTAACAATATTAATGCCATTGTACATTGAGTCATGTGAAATTCTGCACAGTTGGCATTTCAGGTTGGCTTACACCAACAAATCTGGTTTGTGTGTCCAGTTGCTTTTCCCTTCATCATGGCTCCTTTGGCGGGACTCATCCCCAACAAAAGACGAGACCAGATGAATCAGTTCTTTATCAACAGCATTCAGAGGATCATTAAGCAGAGAGATGAGCAGCCTCCTGAACAGGTGAATCTTATGGACTTTTAACTATCTTAAATTGGAACTTGTTTTCCCACTTTAAACAGGGCTCCCACTTTCTTCTTGATCATTTTTTTTAATTAATGCAATGTACTGTCTTGTACTTTCTTCATGGATACCATTTCTGATATATAGTTTTTTGAATGATGAATGACTGATGAATGATTTCTTTTGCTTGTAGAGGCGTCGAGACTTCCTTCAGCTGATGTTGGACGCTCGAATCAGCAAAGAGTCTGTGTCTTTAGAACACTTTGATACAGCAAACCGCACTGATGAGCTCGATCACAGGAACCAGCAAACACAGCCATCAACCTCAGATCAGGACAATAACCCTCTTCACCCACAGGAGCCACAGACTAGGCGTCCTCAGAAAAAGATGATGACTGAGGATGAGATCGTGGGTCAGGCTTTTGTCTTCCTCCTGGCAGGCTACGAAACGAGCAGCAACACATTGGCCTTCACCTGCTACCTCCTGGCCATCCACCCTGAATGTCAACACAAAGTACAGGAAGAGGTGGATGAGTTCTATACTAGATATGTGAGTGTATTATTTTGTGGTCTGATCTGATCTTGTTTGCTTCATCTAGTTATGAAATGAGATGATAGTTGTGAACAGTTATGGGTTTATCTTGTGCTACCTGTTGTAGGATTCACCAGATTACACAAATGTTCAGGAGCTGAAGTATTTGGACATGGTTATATGTGAAGCACTGCGCCTCTACCCTCCTGGATTCAGGTAAAGGAAGACATTAAATGAGGATAAAGGATGCTTGTTTACTAGATTTATCACTATTATAGTATTTATTATTATATTGAACGAGACTATAAAGTAATCACATGGACTAAAGAAGAACAAATGAGTTGAGTCTGAGGGTCTATAAAACATGCAGGTTCATTCTTTTCCATGGCATTTTGTCCCACAAAGGTTTGCACGAGATATCGACCATGACTGTGTGGTGAACGGCCAGGTCCTCCCTAAAGGAGCGACACTGGAGATCCCAGCAGGCTTCCTTCATTACGACCCAGAACACTGGCCAGAGCCTGAGAGGTTCATCCCTGAGAGGTAGGAGACTACTAGAGTAGTTAAGCAAAAGTATAAACCTTGTGTTTCAAGTCTCCTATAGATTTAGTATTTGCATATTGAGTGACTCTTATTCACTACTGCTTTAAATTCATTCAGAAATGTAACATGTTGTTGCTTTCCAGATTCACACCAGAGGCCAAGGCCAGTCGACATCCATTTGTATACCTGCCATTTGGTGCCGGTCCCCGTAACTGTGTGGGAATGAGACTTGCTCAGCTGGAGATCAAAATGGCTTTGGTCCGTCTGTTTCACAAGTACAGCATTGTGGCCTGCTCTGAGACAAAGGTGGGTTGGATAGTTTAAACACTAAAGATAATAATCTAATAAACATGATTTAGAGTTTTAGAGGATTCAAACTCACAATGGAAAAAAGGAACTATCACTGTGTGTGTGTGTGTATATACATACATATATATGTAAATGTGTGTGTATACAGTTATTAATGGCTTTCTTTAGACATCTAATAAAAAAGTGCTGTAATTTTTGTACAACAGTTAACTAATATAATCTGTCAACTATTTACAGTAAATAGTAACAATGTAATACTAAATCTGAAAAACACAAATCTGTATGGAAAACGTTCTTTAACATATGGTATTCTTTTCTTTATGCAGGTTCCTCTTGAGTTGAAATCATCAAGCACTTTAGGACCTAAAAATGGCATATTTGTGAAAATCACAAGAAGAAGCATGTGAAGAGCTCAGTTGAATTCTCCACCAGATGATTTGAAACACACCATTCATGTTCTTGGATTCTGTGAAAAATACAAACCGTCCTGTAGGTCCATGTTTTGTGACTGTGACACACAGTGCGTGAACCATTTTCTGGATCTGTAATTCCATTTAAAGCTAAATATTTCCACAGATTTCCTTAGTTACAGTGCACTGCATACCTCAATCATTGTTCTCATCTTGTGCCTTTTTCTTCTTGAGGGGTGAGCTGGTACGTGGCCTATTGCTATGCTGTAATGATAAATGACACAGGTGCAAAAGTGTCAGGTGCTGTGGAGCACACAGTTGAGGTCCCTCAGAACTCCCTTCTGATGGCTTCATCAGTTGTTATGGTGATGAAAAAATAAGGATGACAGAGGGAGCTGGAGGTGAGAAGAAAGACAAGAGCAAACAAAAGAACAGAATTTTGCTCTACTTTAAAGAGAGCAACTCTCAGCCGATTACCTCAGTGTATAGCAATACTGAATATTTTGCAGTGATTTTGAACAGGCCATAACAGTACTGTTATAAAAGGTGTTTATCTGCTCAATTAAAAGCTGCTACTTTAGAGTTACACAATTTCTTGGTGCATATTAGATTTTACATTTTATCACTTTTCTCTGGATGATGTCATTCATTATTCTTGAAAACACTTTACTGAAACTTAACTGTTTCTCATGTTGGAAGCTAAATCTTTTCTAGACTGAATTTTAACCAATGCTTGGAAAAGATTTTGAGTTAATGAATTAATGAATTTTAGTCTTGCATGTATCCACTGAGAGAATTACTGATGATGAATTCAAATGTTTCTGTGAAACACTGAAACGTGTATATTCCAGCGAAAAGGATCAAAGGTGATTAAAGGCAGAGGTCTGAATGTCCCTGCTTGAATGGTGTACATTTAAAATAGATAGATACTTTATTTATCCCCTAGGGGAAATTCATGAAGGGTCAAATGCTAATTGTGTGTAACTAAATATTCTAACATAATGATGCACTGTGAAAATAAAGGGGTTGAATAATTACATAGACTAATTTAATGGCATTTTAAAATGTGTTTATTACTCAACAAAGTGTATTTCATTCCATATGTTAACACCAGATCATTTTGTTGCCCTCATACCACAACAAAACACACGCTACCAACAAAACAGACACCACCAATCATAAACATATTTCTATGTAAAAGCAGTATAGTCTGCTCATATACATTCTAAAATGTAAAAAGTGTATTTTTTGGCTAATTATAAATTTGCCAGCAGTGAAAAATCCCACTTAATTTACACTTCTACTCCACTACATTTCAGAGGGAAATATTGTAAGTATCAGTTTATAGAATATAATGCTTTGCTATAGATCAAACCACCCAACAGTATATAAAGTAGTTAAAATCACCTTAACATTGTCCTGCTTTAACTTTTAATACTTGAAGCATATTTATTTGATAAAACTTCTGTGCTTTATCTAAAGTAAGATTTTGAATTTAGTCTTACATTTTGTAAAGGATCTAAATACTTCTACCACCATTGTAAAACGTCACAAACCTTTAACAAAGCCACTAGCTGCTACTAGTCAGAGTAAAGAGCATTCCATAATAGTTTTTCCCAGACTAAAATCTTCAGTAAAGGAAACAACAGCGGTATGACTTAGGAGTAATCGATAACATACTCTGGATAAATCTGTTGTTTTTCAAAGACAACATAGATGCTGGGGTTGCTCTCAGAGTCAACACAACTGTCATAGAGGGTTATACCCTTTCCTTTTGGCGGGGGTCGGACAAAGTTGCTCCTTCCTCTGCTGTACTCCCCCACCAGGACCAGAGCAACAAACATGATCTTGTTCATGCTTCTTTTGATGCTGGCGTATCTGTCTGAGTAGGACGCATCTTTGGCAAAATAGCTCCCTAACAAATAAGGAAGTGTTAGTGTTGACACAGTTTAAAGGAAAAAGTGTGATCGCTTCTTTTCTACTGCCACAGTAAAATATGCAGTTTTTTTCAGTTCAGTAAGTAGAGTTTACTACTCCATATCAGAAAAGACATATTTCTTCTATGGCTTGTCAATATTGGATACTGGATGCTCTATAGTCATTGTATTACTGGATCAGCAGCTGAGGCTGTTCTACTGTACCTTTGCCATAGGCCGTGCCATGGACACCGCACATCCTCCAGTCAAAGTTTTGCTCACAGATGGCCTCAATCAGGGACTCGTCTGTCCCATGGAACAAGTACAGCTGATTCACATCTGTCCCTCCATTCCTCAACTTCATCTGGTCTTTCTGCCTGAAGAAGCCAGACAAAAAATTTTAATGTACTGATGTTTTAGGGGAAAAATGCTTATTAGCCTTTGTTCATATGGCTCTCATCTGTAAGGTAAGTATAAAGCTACAGCCAGCAGCTGATTAGCTTAGTTTAGCTTATTTTAGCTTAACTCACTTACGGTAAAGACTGAAAATAGGGGGAAATGGCAAGTCAGGCTTTGGCCTTGAGGAAGCCAGGCAACCAGCAGAAACTAATGAAAGTTACTGTGCCTGACTTAGAATGAATACAACACATTGACTCATAGTGGGAACCCAAAGTGTGTTATTTTCACACAAATGAGATATAAGAGGTGCTGGTGGGCAGATTTTGTTATGTTTGGACAGAGGCAGGTGAGCGGTTTTCCCTTGTTTGGGTGTATGGTAGCTTCATATTTAACACAGAGTGTTATCAATGTTCTTACCTAACTCTATGCAAGAAAGCAAAGAAGCTATTGTGTCAAAAAACCTTTTCTTAAACTGATTTACCATTGAAAGACTTTCCACAGTGAGGGGTTCTGGATCCTCTGGATGCTGTTAATTTTACTTTGAGGCATAGTGCGCTTAAACAACATTTCGATCATATCATAGTCCTTCACAGATTTGGAGATGGGTAGAAGCTGAAAGATAGTAAAACGCAGATAAACAAATCATTAAGCACAAAACAGTAAAATAAATAAATAAATAAAAATAAAGCACATGCTGTGAAGATACCCTGTATCCAAAATCAGGTAGAGCGCTCTTGTCCCAGTGGGATGGGACACATTCAGCTGTGGAGGAGCTGGATTTGGAGCTGGGTGATGATGTACTACAGAGAATACAAACATAAAGTAAGAACTGCCCAACTGAAGAAGTCATTTGAGGCACTGAGATATCCAAAGCAGTAGTGTTAGAATTGCAAGGACAATGCAAAGTCCGTCTATTACAGGAAATGAAAAATACCTGTCCAGCTTCAGCTTCACATCATGAGCAGACACAAAGCGAGGCCTTCTCTTGACCTCTCTCTTAGTTTTGTATTTTAAGTTCTCTTGATACATCTGCTGTGTTCCTGCTTCGCCTTTGAGGTGGAGAATATACTTCTGATTGCCAGCACTGAAAGGAATCTCTGTATCTCTGTCTGCCAGGTACACATTCTCCAGAGTTTCAGAAGTGACAGAGGCTGGTGTGTCCAAATCACCCTAATACAAAAAGCAGAGAACAGTCCAGCAAAGTTCAGATTTTACATTTGCCAGTGATCAAATGTGGAAAAATTAATTAACGAAGAGTGCAGAGGGGAACGTAGTAAATCTAAATCTACTTGTTCCTTCAAACAGGCACTATTAAGGATAGCAGGCTCTTAAAACTGACTTTTGATCTGATCATCACAAAGACACATTGTTTCACTATTTGTACTGGTCTGACTGACCTGTCCAAACTCCAGCCATTTCCCGGTGTCATCCTTCCAGTACCAAAGCCACTCTGTTGTAAGAATGAAGTGAGGGGGCTTTGAGACAGAGGAGGCAGTGGACAGCCGACGAACTGGAGACCCTTCATATGTCATCGTCTTGAAGTTAACTGCCTGAACGACAGGGGGTACGGAGCTGAAAGCAAGCAGTGTAAGAACAGTAAATCAGCAAATTTTCTCAAGAGAAGTTAAAAAGTATTAGTTTCTCTACAATATATTTATAAACTAAAAGACTGTGTGTATCTCTGTGGTGTTTCTTCATTCATGCACCTTTGAAGACGAAGGAAACTTAAAAGCCCTGAGAGGGGCAATGGTTGATTCATGTCACTTGTTTCAAGTCGTGGGTCACAGTAGGCCTTCTCAATGTCCTCCATATTAGGCAAATCCTTCCAGGTCTTATGATCACTGTCTAAAACCTGCCATCTGTAAGGTAGGTGCCAATGAACACGAACACACTTCTCTGGGAAAAGTACAAGGATACAAAGGCACTCATTTAGGCAGTGGTACACATAAACATTTCTTTTCTCACAGAGTCACACATACAGTATGTCTTGAGGAGTTACTGTACTGTAAATGTGACTTTTTAGTTCTACCAGCAATATTGTTACCTTTGAAGCTGCAGTGTCTGCGAATGAAGAAGAGGCAGATTTCATCCCTGTCAGCATCACTCATGGGTTTAGATGGACAAGCAGAACTGGTGGGAGATCCAGGGTTGCCTTGGGAAGGCTGTTTGGAGGCCTTGTGGGAAGCCTGGTGGGAAGGCTGCTGAATGGGGATTCTCACCTTTGGCGTCACTGCAGATGACACACATACATACAAACATACATACATACAATCTATTTGTATTTATATGTAAAATATCACATCTCATTAGATGACAAAAAAAATCAAGAGTATAATATTTCGATAGAAGTAATTCTTTACCAGGAACAGGAGTAGCCCATTGACCCATGATGATGAATTTATTTCTGTAGATCTCATGAAGGTTTCTTATATTCTCCTGACTGAATCCGCGGAAAATCTTCGTTTCTTGTGCATCAATATTATGGGCTCTCTTACAGGAAGTGCCAAACACACAGTCACCCTGGAAATAGTGCTGGCAGATGTGAAGCTTGATGCAGGTGGTGCTGAACTTGCAGGAACCATGCAAACCACTGCCCTTGTTGTAATGTGGGCATATCTAGATGGGTGTATGGAGGAGGATGACCATATGACAACAAGAATATATTACAGTTCATTCAGAAATATACATTATTTTCTACACCATAACAAGAGACAAAACCAAAACCTACCTCAGGAAGCAGCCATGGATCATTCTGCAGTAACAGCTGGAACAGCTGTTTTTCCGTCAAGTCCTGAAGACCATGTTTCTTTAAAAGCTCTGCATTGTATGGAGAAGCCAGACTATGGGGATTTTTACACTTCTGTCTAAAAATGACAACATGACAGGTAAGGGTTAGACAGAATTAACCTACTAAAATATGGCATATCTAGTATTTGTAGATACACAGACCTGTAGAGATTTACAAATTTCCAGTCAAGTACTATCACAACTGATAGGCTACTGGTGGCTGATAACCAGGATATGGAGCCAACCTGTTCATAATTATCATGTGTGGGTTAAATTAAGAAAATATAATAATAAAGTGCCACAGAATTTCACACTAGTGTACAGTAGAGTGGGTTATCTAGGGAAAATGATGGTCAAGGTCACCTAATAGGATCTGAATAGACCATTTTCACAGCAGATATTTTGACACGTCTTAGCAGGAAAAGCACAGGTGTTGTTAATAGTGTTAATTGCATTCCATTTAGGTGACTTAGTTCCAGCCTGGTATTGTGCCTGCTGACTCAGTGGCACTGTATGTACCTAAAGCCTTTAATGAACATTTATTTCATCTGTGCTTTTCCTGCTATCCCCCTGCTGCCATCTTGTGGACTTTACAATTGATGCATAATTCTTTCATGTTTTTAAAGGGAGGAAAAAAAGGAAAGATGTGAACGTTTGTTTTCTTCCACATTGACTCAAAGAGACTAACATTTAACATATAGGTTAACATATTTCTTCTAATGTTTAGCTATACAACTCTAAAGGATTGATGGTTGCGTCACTACGTTATTCAATAAAATGTGAAAACACCAGGACTAACAGAAAAAAGAAAAGAGAAAAAGTGTTAGCAGGCGACAAAAGTGAAAACAATGTGTGGGTGTGTAGGCATTTAAAGTTTAAAGCACGTAACCATTGTTATTATGACTACTGCTTGACAATAGACAAATTACAAACCCTTCAACGTGTCGTAGGCCTACAGCAGTAGGTTACTTACCCATAGGTGCAGTCCCCGCAGACAAAATACCTGCACAGGTGTAAACTATCACACTGCGGGCACTCTCCGGGTTTTTTCTGACAGATTCGCAGACTAGTTTTGGCCACGACCAGACTATCCGAGCTAATTATTTGACCACCAGTCACCTTCTCTTTGCCTGGTTTAATGGCTATTTTACCGTCGTCGAAGAGAACACTTCGCATGACTGGTTCCGCAACAGTGAAATTCTGCGCGATAGTCTCATCCAGGCGCTGGAAGTCCAAACATCCCTGGTGGTCGCACAGGGTCTTAATGATGAATTTAGAGATAACTGAAGTCATCCTGAAACAGGTTTCACCCGCTTAGCGAAATAACATGTAGTTACTGCTAAAGAATGGCTGACCTCGATCTTCTTAGCGAGAGCGATTCCTGGTTTCGGATAAATGAAACTGAAACTGAAAAAGAGAAAAAAAGAAAAATATGTTAGAAAAAACAGTCGTAGGCCTGCCCCTATAACAATTACCATATCATCAACAGAAGCTTCTTTACTTATGAGGAACGGCATGAAAAAAAATTCTAGGGTGATTTTTTTCTATAGTTTGTACTCACGGGTTACGCAGATCCTTCCATAGTAAGGTTGCAAGTTAAATTCACAAGTACTTGAATGCAGCACTTGCCCATAGCAACCGTCGCAGGGGTTCAGTGTACCTTAGCAACCATAGAGGGCGAACTATTGGTGATGGAAGAAGAAAAGGGGAAAGAGATCACACAAAAAGAAAAAGAACTCCTCTACAGCCGAGTCGAAGAACTAAGGTAATGAAAATACATGTTTAAGAACATCTTTTCGGTAAATAGTTTAAGAAGAAGTTTGTTTAGTTAAAGCCGCTTTTATTAACCTACCTATTTTGTGCAACATGCTAACGTTGGCTAGTTCTGTTGTTCAGCAATATGGTTATAGTAGTTAAATGTTACCTAAACGTATCTATATCCTAGAACCATTAGCTAAAAGTAGAGGGTCAGACGTCCAGCCACATTCTTTAAACTAGGCCAGGTTACATTATGACTCACTGTATGACATGTTTGATAAAAATTTGAACCGCCTTTTGTAAGCATTTGGGTTTAGGTTTCCAGCTTAAGCAACCAAATTTATAGCTTTGAGCATTTCCCTTAGCTGACTGAGGTTGTTGTTATTCACGTCCACTCAAGGTGTTCCAATGCAGCCCTCCTGGCAGAGAATGACATGTTTGAACAGTTCATCAGCCGTCTGGATCCACAGGACCTGGTGTCTCAGGCTGGGGGAGAAGGTCTTGGGACAGCAGGAGCATCCCAGCTGGAGGGTGGGGTAAGTGACACCCAGTGACAAGAGCTACTGAGAATTACACTGTTACAAGGGAAAAACTCTCTGTACTGCACTCCTGAAATACCAGAATAATTTTGCCTTTTCAGGGCCAGGGACGGAGGCGGAGGTCCCGGTCCTACATATCAGATAGACTCCAGCAGCTGACCTTGGAACAGAAACTTTATGTGGCACAGAGGGAAGTAACAGAGATGGGACAAGACCATGAGAAGCTCAAACAGAGATATAAGAGAATCCAGGACAACTACAAGGTTAGGTTCTAACACACCCTTGCACAAACAAAAAAGTGCATACTTAAAGTATATTTCTCCTCAGTGATTCTGCTTGTATTTGCAGGCCTCTCTGAAAGAGGCAGAATTGCGTCTAGCAGACATCAGGAAGGCCAAGAAAGAGTTTGAACGCAGACTGCTCAAACCTATGAAAGACAACAGATTGGAAATGAAGGAGCCAGAGAAGGTGCTCCAGTACTTTGAAGACAAATTAAAGGTAGAAATCTGGTTTGGTCTAATGACATCAACCTGTGCAAAGCAGTATTTGAATAGATTTTGATCACTCATTTTAACTCAGCTTACAAAAGATATTACACTTGTGACTGTTTAAAGTACTTACTGGAATTAATTTAAATATATGCACACATCTTATAGTTATTTTGTACTATTTTCAAATCCATAGATATGTTGTTTTTTACCCAAATATATTATATAGTGATAATAAAATAACTTTTATAACTTATTGTGGAAATGTAGTTGAACCATTATGTTGAGCTAGTTTTTTTTTTGCTTCCTAGCAATGACAGGAAAATGTCAGGGATGCTAACATGATGTTTTTCTGACTATCTTGTATTTTAGTACAGCAATTATTTCTTTGTGTTAAAGTAAATGGGCAAATAACACACTCTATTGATAACTCTTTAATGGGAGGGACAAAGAGATGGGATATTGAGTGATTATTACTTTTACTCACTTCTTTGCTTATATTTGCTTTCTCCAGTACATAATTTTCCTCCCGTTGTCCACATTCTCTGCTCTGTTCACAAACACACATAAAAAAACTCAAACAGGTCACTCAGTTGGAGAAGTTAAATCTGAACATCCAGACACTGAGGGTCCAGGAGAAAAAGCTCCAGCAGCAGCTTCAACAGAAAAAAGACATGGGAAAAGCTGAGTACGAGGTAGAGAATGAAAAATAGGGTCTATACAGAGAGCCTGAGAGAACAGAGTTGAATGTGTAGTTTGTGAGTAACAATGTTTTGCAAGAGAACAGTGAATCACCGTCTGTGTCTTTTTCTAAAAAGGGTTAGTTATGTGCTTGTAACTATATCTACTTAAAAATGTTACCTGTTCAATGTGGATTATAATTTCCCTTTATTTTTTCTAGTAAATAAATGTAACAATGTATGGTGCTGTGTGTTTTATCTAGGAGATTTTCCAGGAGTACAATGAGCTGAGAATTGACCAAAATCTGGATGAACTTCAAGTCAACAGTTTGAAAGTACAACGTGTCCTCAGTTCACACAAGGTGACTTGTTAAAATGTTGCTTGACAGGGACATTTCTAGTGTAATTTAGTGTAGATTTATGAACCATATCCCACATTTGTTGTAACGTTGATCCCTTCATCTTGTGTCTATGTGTGCGTGTGAACAGGAGAAGCTGCAGAATGTGACATGGGAGTCTACAGAGTTGAGCAATGACATCACCAGCAGGAAGCAGATGCTTGCAAAAATTGAAGAGGAGATCCAGCATACTGAGAAGGTTAGTTATTAGTCCAAAGATTAGTCAAAGTTATGAACCTAACTTTAAGATCAGTGTGTCCAAGAAAATCAAATTTAGTAATTGGTACATGGTTTGCACACAGGAGTTAATCAGTTAATATTTGGTTTCTCTTCTTTTAATTCTTCTTTAAACTTTATTCACTGTGTCTCCTGCCCTTTAAACAAATTCCCTTTGTGTTCTTCATTCCTCCATCATCAGGAACGTTTAAAGGCAGAGGCCCTCAACCAACACCTGCGCCGCCAGATGTCAGATTATCAGGCTCCTGATATCACTGAGTACATGCATGTCAAGGACAAACACAAAAAGCTGCAACAGAGCATTCACACTTGGGAGAGGAAGGTTGGGATTGCTGAGGTAAACCAATATTTTTTTCCCCCCCAAAGACAATCAGAAGTGCAATATCTTCTTTTCCACTTTTATCATACTACAATATGCCTCAATCCAGCTGGGGAAAAAATTGTTGTGGGACAATTTCGAAAACAAAGGACTCTTTCTTCTCTGTTTTCACCAGATGGCCTTGAAGACCCACACTAAAGCCTGGAGCAAACAGAGAGCCACTCTTACTCCTGCAAACAGTGCTGTGGCTGGAGCGAGGTCTGGGGAACACCAAATCCCAGTTAAGCTCCCATACATAGCAGAACACAACACATAAAGAAGCACAAGGCCTACAGGATTCATTAAAGAATGAATGGGTGGAGGATGGAGACGATGCGACAGTTGCAAATGCCCTGTTTCACATTATTACAGTTATTCAACATTTGATGATTTATCATAACAATTTGATACTTTAAAGATTTTTACCATGCATCATGATAAATGTAAAAGCTCCATCAAACCCATAATACATTAAATAATAAAAATAACTTCTTATACTGTACTTATTAGCATACCATTATTACAATACTGAATCCAATATATGCAACTACCCATATTTGTGTTTCTGATGTTCATATATTTGAAGTGAAGCTGAAGTTAATATAAAATCGGGTGAAAAAAATCCACCTGAGGCTCGACAAACTATTTTCTTTATTAGAAAGAAATCCTTGGAGGTATAAGCCCTCAAAGAACTCTAAATGTTATGATGTTACATGCCATATATACAGTTATATACATAAAAGTGCAATGTCACAATGGGTAAGCTGTTTATTTATTATTAATTCTGTCATATAACTGTTTGGAAAATGGCATCATTACTTATTCATGTGTCTTCTTCCTGCACTGCATTTCTTCAAAAACACAGCATCTGACATGAAAATGCAACAGGACAGAATGTCTGAAGTTCCTCTAAAACATTTTCAAAGGCACTTTCACAAGTACATACTACAGATGTACGTAACACCACAGAGTAGCTTAAAGCCTACAGATGGCATGACTACCGTCCTATTGTTGATGATGTTACATAGTGACAAAAGCATTTTATACAACTGGCTTCATACTGTGGCTGGAACACCTGCATCTCTGCATCGTCTTCTACCCAGAAACACAACAACAATAACAACAAAGATTATAAAAATGATGAAAGTTAGTAATTCAGAAATCAATTAACTTTTGATTATTACACACAATATCTGTCAATTCAAAGATAGTGTAAACCTGCTGCTAGAGAGCATTGCTAACTCATTGCAAACCAAATCTCTTCTAAGTGTTATTATGCTAGCCAAACATTCCCAGGACATGCACCCAATTCTGTTATTTCTACAAATACTTAAAAAATAGACACATACAGGGGCGCAGTCACACAGTTGGAACTAACTGGCACATACTGTTTTAAGGGGCTATTGCATTTTGAAATTATTACTTGACTCAGAAACATATGAGCTGACTGACAAATGAGCTGTTCGTCGCTGATTGTGTGAGATTTCGTCCTGTTCCACATGTGCAGTTTCAGTGTTGCACGTCAGACATTTGAAGTGTTGTCTTCCATTAATGCAGCAAGTCCACAGAGAAAGCCTCAGAGTCAGTCAGAGAGCAATACAAAAACACATAATTGGCATTCTTAGCTGAACATAAAACAGACTAGAGGGACTCGGAAGCAAGCTGCTGTTTCCAGAAACATTGACAAAGAAAAGCAAAGGAAGCAGGGTGAACACATTAGGAGGCTTTTACACTAACAGTCATTAGGTCCATGGCTACTGGCAGCACTCCCACAGGGCGCTGCCTTAAGTCTATACACATCAGTCAATATGAAGAATGCCTACATCTTATATGGAGGGTCAACATCCATGCTTTACACTTATACAGCCATGTCTTTGGGTAGATAAAGCCAAGCAAGGCATAAAAGAAGCTATGGCATGTGTTTCACACTGTATAATACCCTATGTGTTGTATATACTGTAGGTAGGAGATGATTTGTCATCAGAACTTTTCACACTGCTCCCCATTGGTTATACAGATGTAAAGGCATAACTTATTAGGCATATTTTATCCCTTCATCGTGAGTAATTGATGCAGGAATTCAAGAATGCATCGAAATGTTCAGTTTATAATGAAGTAGTGGTTTTATCCAATATCCAATAATCCATATCTCGTTCCAGGCAATGTGG